CCACTCTACGGCAGCTTTTTAGAGATTTGATGATATCAGTGTTATGAACTTGAGGTGGGAAAGTGGAATTGTTGGGAGTTCAAGTTAAGCTTTTCATTACTTTGTGTAAATTGCATGAACTTCTGCTCTGACTTAATACACAAACTCATCTCTTACTCATGCCAAGCCATTCCCTCAAACAGTCATTAGAACAAACAGTAACTCAGTAAATTAAAAGCTCTGTAAGCTTTTATGGGAAAAGATGAGACATCTACAATTTGGACAAGTTGTAAAGTGTTTCTGCTGAAATGTTAGGAGGTGTTTTTTTCAGAATCTCATTTGAAAAACCAGAATCTATTTCACAGAGAATCTTCACCATAATTTCTATGCAGTGTTTCTGGTAACCAGCTCCCAACACAGATCTAATGTATGCTATTGCTATTCTGCAGTGCCAGCCCATGTCACAGCATGCTGACTCCAGGCATATCAGGAAATCCTGTTTTGTAAAACAATAATGTCAGGGAGGTTTTCCTGGATGTGAAAAGTCTACTAGCCTAGATTTCAGTGTGCTTGCCTTTGATTTGTGCTGGTGTAGACGTCCTTTAGCTATACTGGTGTTGAACATTCCTGTTTGAGAGAGAGGTCTCCTGCCTTCTGAAATGTTAAATAGGTGTGTAATTCATAGTATAGTCAATAAAAAGCAGGTTTTGCAGTAGGCGTATGATAAATTGGGTGTTTAAAAGGAATTTTAAGGAACATTTTATGTTAATAAAAAAAAGAAAGGGAAGAGAACCAAAAAACAATTGTTGAATTTGCAGTAATACCTGGCTAAAATCTCTGTCTATGCTCTTCCAATGCAAACACCTATTTGGGGTGTTATTTTTTGCTTTTCCTGTTGTAGAATGGATATTTGTGGATGCCCTGTGTGTGTTGGCTTTCCTGGGATGACTGCATTACCCAAATAATCAACATCAATAGAAATGTCTTTTATTTAGGGCTTTGATGGCATCATATTGGTATCGCCAAAATGGCACTGTAAAAATATCTTTCTTCCAGAAAGAAATACTGAGATGAAATATTGACATATTTCTGTCCAATAGGAAAGGGGGTTTTCTGCAGAATGCTCCAGAAGATGCTGAGAGTCCAGGACTAACTGAGCTTGAAACGTAAATTTGTTGTTATTTCTGTCCAGCCAATTGTAAATCACATGTTGATTTAAGTCATATAGCATTAAAAATCAGAATCTGAAAAATTTCTGTGCATGCATCCCCAAGTCCTGCCACCCACCTTGTGTACAGTGCATATAGTTTCTAACTGCATAATTACCTAATTCTCAAATAAAAAATGTGCATGTGTTTTCCTGTCCTTATGAATTGTGTGCAGTGGTTTATATGCTGAGAGTGGAAAAACCCAATAAGTTATGCAGTGTCTTTCAGACAACCTCTTCAGATCTTTCTCATGTGCTCACAAAGATGGTTGAGGAACACAATTGCGGTTCCCTGTTGTTGTGCACCTCTGAAATGCATCTTTCTGATGTTTCCAGCTCTGGCAGATGTATGGGAAGTGGTGGCCCACAACAGTACCTCACACAAATGTGGCATTTCTGTTCTTTTCAAACATGACATGAAGGCTGCAGCATTACCCATGCAGAGCTGGTTTTTTCATAGCAGCCACTTCTGAGTCCTCACAAAGTGGTTGTCACTTGCAACAGCCACTGGCTTAGTGCATCTGTTCTCTTAAAATGGTCCTTAAACCCCTAATAAGTCCCACTGCTCTTTGAAATTACACCCATTTTGGATCAGCATGGAAATCAAGCCTTAGTTTTAAAAACAAGGTCTTTCTTTCATGGAAGGAATTTAAGGTCTCTTGGAGACAGCAGTACAGATTGTCACTTCAGCAAGAGCAGATGCAGCTGTGACTTCTTCCAAATAATTATTCCAAACATAAATATTAAAAAACAACTCGCATAAACGAAATTAGAGGAAGGAGAAAAAAATAAGTTTCTGACCCAGGCTCTCAGCTGCTTAACATTGCAACCACTTGCTTCACTTCACAGAGCTGTAGCCACTTGTCCTTGCACATGTGACACCTGGCCAGGAGTTTGAGAACTTGGGGCAAATTATGTCTTCTCTCTGTCCTTACCTGTCTCTCTCAGAGAGCCTTGCTGGTACCTGGACATGCAAGCCCCCAGCTCACAGCCCTGCTGCAGCTGCACCACTCAGCCCTTTTATGCTGCTCGCCAACCAGTCCAGCATCACGTTGGCTGTGCTCACACACACCCACTCAGATCAGAAAGAACACTCTGGTTTAAACCAGATAAAAATAGGTTTTAATGAGAATACAGAACAGATTGGAGTATTCAAGTGCAGGCAGGGCTCAGGCAAGCACAATGACCTGCTCCTTTTATACTTTTTCTCTCCCACACTTGCTCCTTTCCAATCCACCTGAATTCCTTCCTTGTCCCACTTTTAATCCATCCCTAACATCCTGAACTAAGTCTTGTACATTCCCATGGCTCTCCCAAAACAAGTTGTAGGCAATCCCAAAAATGTTTTTCCCACCACATCCCTCAGTGAGCCTTATACCCATCATCTTACTGTAAATACCTCTAGGTGTCTCTCCATGACCCACAAGAGGCTCATGAGTCTGCTCTGCAGGGCCTCACACACCACTGGCACTGAGGCCATGGAAGCCGAATGATCCTTTCCACTGCCTGGAATTCCCCCTTTTTCTGTTCAGCTGCTTTGCACCTCTCCTGTCAGAGCAATGAAGGGTTGGCCTGACCTAGAGGGACATCTGAGCTGTGTGAAAGCGATCAAGCTAAGCTCCTGCTGCTGCTTGCCAGGGCTGCACCACTCCCCATCTGATGCCCCACAGCACCAGGAGATGGTAAATCGAAGAGGTCGATTCCCATCAAGACAGAAAAGGCACAATGGAAAATCAGCAACTTCAGGAAAAGGAGACCAGCTGGCTGCTGGTGTGGTACAAAGCCTGTAGCCAGGGGGAAGCTGTCTAGAATCCATAAAGGTGTTCCTGCTGTTTCCAAGGTAACTTCCATCTTCTGCCACCCAGGTGAGGCTCAGCCTTTATCATCATGTGAGCAGAATACAAATAATGGGTCTGATGTGGAAAACAAAGTGCACACAAAATGCCATGTGTTACCCCAGCTGCTCTGATAGTGGTTTCTCACCTTCCAGCCTTCCACATCAGCCTACTGAGGCAAAGTGGTAGGAACAAGAAATTCATCCACTGCAGCTGAACCTTCCTGACTCACTGCCAGATGGAAGTCAGCTAATTCAAAATTATCATAGGTGGCTTTCCAACTGGAGTTACAACTCAAGAGCCCAGGAACCTCAGCAATGCACAGCTCTTTTGTGCCCATGCCACATGGATCTGACCTCCTCTGCATGCTCATCTGAGAGGAGCCATGAGTTCTCCACCTTGCATTGGCAACAGCTAAGCTTGGCTGTTGCCTGAAAGGCCATCCTGGGATCATCTAGGGAAATAATGGAGTGAGAGCTTCTCACACTTCATCTCTCTGGCATGAGAGAGCTGAGCTGCTGTCACTGAACCAAGTGGCACTTCTTGTATGGAGTCACAAGGGTCAGGTGCTATTGACCTCTGCACCACCTGTGACAAAAGTCACTGGGTTTTAATTGCCTCTTCAAAACCAGCATGAGAGAGGAAAAGAGGAGTGAGAGTATGTGCCCACAGCCACGTACTGAGTGCAATACTTTAACCCTTTGATGTCATCATTGTCCACAAAGGGAGTTTCCAAGAGCAGAGAAATCACTGAAGACTTTGTGTAGTTCTTCATGTCATTATTATGCTGTGCACTGGCAGGGAGCCCACACCAAAAATGCCAGCCTTCCACATAGCCCTCCCAGGACATAATCCCAGGCTGTGGCCCTGCTCCTGCCCCTGGTCCAACATCTTTTCTCCAATGCCTTTTCAGAACAGAGACCTCAGCGGGGAGAGGGACACAAGTGCCAGACTGAGCTGTTAGGGCAGAATCTAGCACCAGACCATCACCACAGTGCTGAGGGCTATGTAGGATAGTCTTGACGAGGTTTCCACTCATTATTGATATTCTAGCAGGACAAGTGCATGGCCAGGAGCCAGAAGGGGATCTGCAGTGACACTAAATTCAAACATTATCTGAAAAACTTGGCAGCAGGAAGCCCTCCTCTCCAGGTATTTGCTGCTTTCCTGGAAGCTGGCATTATCTACTCCAGGTGTCAGCTCTGATCCTCCCACAAGACTCTGTGTCACAAAATGTCATATCAATGTGACTCTTCTAGAGTATTTCAGAGCACAAACCCCAGAACTGTCAATATTGAAGAGTCCCTAGCACTGTGTGCTAAAAAGCTCTGGTTTAGAATATGGAATTAAATTTGGGATTTTTTTTTTTTTTTTTACCAAATATACCCCCACCTACAAGCCTTTGACCTTCTCAGATAAAAAAAGCTGAGAAGAAATGTGTTGGTGCCTAAGAAGCAGCTCCCCAGGACCTGCTCTAGCAATGCTGTACCGCAGGCAAGGAGGCTGGCTGAGGTCCGCTTCCCCATGCAGGAGCTGCAGCAATGCCAGGATGAGCCATACCTATTTGTCAAATCCTTCTCATCAGGGTCCTGAAAAATTGAGTGTGGAAAGACCTGCGTGGTTACCTACCAGCTGGTGGTGATTTTCTCTAGCACTCAGAGGTGGGCATTGCCCAACAAACTGATACCTCCTGGCACATGGACAAGAGAGCTTGTAACCTCTTATCTAGGCTTAAGCACACAGAAAAAGCAGGAATCTCAACCAATATCCAAATAGCAATAGCAAGTGAGATGATACAGGCAGCTGAGGCATCATCCTATTTTGACTGCTGTACCCCCTCAATTAGCAATTGAGTAATCTTGGTTACAAAGTCATATTAAAAACTCTTCACCAGGAGGAATTCTTGGTTTAGCAGCTAATATGAGACAGTGAAAATCTGCCAAATGCTTGGGAATTTGAAATGCACTAGGCACAACTTTGCAAAGGCAAGAGAAAGCTTCTTTCTCAGCCTGTCAAAAGATAGTCTTCAGCTCTTCAAAAGCGTCAGCTGGGATGAAGTGCTTCCAACAGGCAACATTTCTTACAGTGTAGTTGTTCCATTTCTGATCTTCCAGCCCTTATTCTCAAAGAAAATCCTACAATATCTTTGTGAGGTAAATCTGGGAACTGTATCTCATTACTTTCCTGAATACTAATGTTTTAGAATACATTACCTCCTCTCTGCACCTTTCCCAACTATCAATCTCCCAGTGCTCTACATCATTCTACTATTATTCTACAAATTACCTGCACCTCTTTTCCCCCTAGGATATAACCACCAATATAGTCTTTACATTCCACAGGTGCTGTCAGATGTCTAGCTCAGACACAGGTTTAATTAAACCCAGAACAATTGTTCCCAAGATGCAGTTAGTTTGAAATTCACCTCATCTTTCCTGAGGAGCGTACACGCCCCAAAACTCATCTGCTCTCTTCAGAGATACTAGCTGGCTCCAGAAAAGCTATCACACCTACATAAAAATCTTTATCTTGAAACCTTTGGCTCTTACAATACTGGCATGCCAAAAGGCTTCACAGACTGCAAATAGGAGGGGCAGAATGTGACAGGGTCTGGTTTCTAAAAAATAGAGGTGTGACATTATGACATGCTCCACAGAAGATCTTAAATTCTGTTTCACAGGACACAGTGGGGTTTGAGCACTAATTTAATATAGGTGCTCACTTTTGAATAGCAACAATGATCCATAGCTACAAACTCCTGCAAAGCTCAAACTCCACTCTTTCAGCCCCTACCTGGAAGAAACACCTCTGCACTCCTTCAAGAGGCTCTTCTCCATAAGGGAAGCAACATTTGAGCTGCCCTTTCACGGAGCCTCAGTTTCCCATCTATAGAATAAGGAAGGGGGACAGGCTCAGGCTTAGCCACTCCAGGCTGCCATCTCCTCACTGCTTATCCATCACTGCTTGAGTTTGCTCCTGGCTGTTGCCAGTCTCTCTCCCCAGACATGTCCCCAAGGGAAGTGCTGACAGTGTGGGAGTGAGTCGTGCAGAAGAGCAAGTAGCTCTAGGACCAGCAGGAACCCAGCCTGCAGGGTGACCTTTTGAAGGAGAATCACCACAATACATATTTATCCTATTTAGAGAACAGAGGAGGTAAACTTTGACTGTGGCCAAGGTTTTAATAAAGCATGAGACCAGCTGAGGCCTTTCTCATACCTGTAGTATTTTAAGCATTCACCTCCCTCATGTTGCTCTGTTAGCTCTTAATGTCTGGGTTTACACTGCTCTTGTTCTCTCTCACTGCATCTCTAGCAGCATCTCTTTCCTCAGTTGGGCCTCTAATTTT